TACATTCCTGATTGAATTTGGCAAGTATACGAATGACTCAAATTTATGTATCATGAAAGAAATATTACCAATTTGTCTGATCCACACACTCTACTAAAAAACAATAATTATTATCAATACTAAAATATTCAATGTCGATAAGATACAAGTGATGAGCATAATAAAAAAGTGAAGAAGTCAGGCGGGTGAAGAAAGAAATCACGAAATGATTATGAATACTGCGAAAATAGAACAAATGATTATAAGACAAATGATATGTAGATGATGAAAACCAAACCAAAACGAAAAGAGACTAGAAAAATATTAGAAATTATGCTAAGAAAATAATGTTTTGAATTTAGAAAAAAATTAGGATTAATATAAATTTTGATAATGATTTTTTGATAATGATTCAAATAAAATAAGCGGTTTTTGTCAAATGTATTTATTGTTTGACTTTCGGTTTAGGTTTTGAATTTCGGTATGGTTTTTGAATTTCAGTATAGGTTTCTAACTTGCAAATGTTCGAAAGTACTTTCGGTTTCGGTGGACATCCCTACCACACACTCTACTAAAAAACAATAATTATTATTAATACTAAAATATTCAATGTCGATATTGTTGCCATCACTATCATCACCTCATTTATCATTAGTACGATACATAAGCTGACGAAATAATTTTCGACGAAGTAAACGGGACCGCTGTGTATGTATTGTATTTTGTTTTTGAGCAAATATATGTTTTTTTTGTCATTCTAAATAATGCAGGTGGACCCGTCTCAACTAAATGTTTATGCCACTTCCTGCACTAAAATTTCAGATGTAAAAATGAATGTCAAGAGAAAATTTTTTTTTTAGCCAGTTAAGTCGTTTAAAAATTCCTTAACTAGCTAACATCACTATCTGATTGATAAGGTAAAAACTCGGGTTATTGGAGTATTTAAACAGAATAAATTCTAAAAAAAAAATCGAAGCCCACGGATTAAAAGGTACAGACTACCACAACGGTTTAATTTGCACAAATTTGCATATATTTGGCTTTGTGTTTTTAAAAAATTCATTTTAACGATGTTTTCGGATTAACGGGTTTGAAATGTTTGTTTTTAACACAATTTACTAATTTGGGTAAAAGTTAAGTTTTTCCATTTATTTTTAACAAACTTTTTGAAAATAAATATATAGAGATTATTAAAAAGCGGTCAATATCGAGTAGCGTAACAATTGATTATTATTATTATATTATTAAACAAAAAGATTATTCGATTAACTAATTGTTTATAATAACAATAAATCATTTATTAAATTTGAATAAATTAATAAATTTGTAATTATATGGACATTAACAGATATTTTTTAATTTTTTATCTATTCCGGTTTATTCTCAGAAATAGATGATTTTGCTTGAAAAAAA